CTTCTCTCGTGTTCTCCCTCCTCTCCTCCCCCTCTCTCTATTCTCTTCCCTCTTTCCCGCTCTCCACACCTACTGAGCGCCACCTTGGTGTCAAATGAAGAATTCACACGACCCTGGCCACTGAGTCTCTCACGGTCCTATAGGGCAGCAGATACAAAACTACTAGTAGAAAGTCACGACACTGGGTAACAGGTATTGTGACAGAAGCTGAGAAAACACAGAGGAATCAGAGGGGGGCTTCCTGGAGGTGGTGCTATCTGACTTGATCCTCTAAGACAGTACTAAGGGGAAAAGATAGCGTCTCCAGGTCTAGGGAGCAGCATGTGTGAAGCCTCTTGTTGGTTCTAGAAATGACAACTACAATTCGGTCTGGTCAGGCACAGGATGGATGTGGGAGATGGAGCAAGGCTAGCTCATGGAGGCTCTGGAATACCAGGCCAAGGACTTGATTCTGATGCCATAGTCACCGAGAGACCATTGCCAGCCCCACTTCCATTCTCTGCCACACAGAACCCCATCAAGGCTGCAATTCGGGGTAGAACTTGTCTGGTTCTTCATGGTGCTGTTCATAAACTTTCCTTTCGGTCAAAGCACTTTCCCCCTCCTCTTTGGGATCTGTTGTGACGATGATACTGGGCTGGAGGCGGGGCAGGTAGACACCTTGTCTCGGCCAAGTCTAGCTGAGGCCAGGAAGTTGCAGACGGCAGAGTAGCCACATGAGGAAAGCATGCCCAGGGCCTTTCAGCGCAAGGATGAACTTGCTCCAGTGAGAAGGAGCTGTGCTTCAGACTGGGATCTGCCTCGTCTCACCCCGCTGAGGGGTGGGCGCTCCCTGTCATCATCTGGCTGCTGGTGCATCAGAACAGCCCCTGGGGGAGGACCAGGAGACATGGCCATTGTGACCTGCTTTTTAGCCCCTTGGCCAAGAGCTGGCCCTCCTGAGAGACAGGGAACTGGGGGCCACTGCCACGATGCTGTCTAGACTCAGCTTCCCTTCCTGCCTCAAGGGCAAATACAAAAGTCCGAAGAGCCTCAGAGGAACAGGGACGTTTTATGAGAACAGGCACAAAGAACATTCCGGAAGAAAAGTCGACAGTGGAGGGCAGCTCATTCCACAGGTCTGAGTGGCTGCTTACGGAATTGGTGGTTCTCTGAGCCAAGCTAGAGAGGTCAAGTGCCCCAGCCATGCCGGTTCCTGTGAATGTGCCCGGGCTTTTCTGGGACTGAAGTCAGCAAACTGAATTCCTTTCAGGCCCCGGCCGGCTGGCGGTCGTCAGGGACCAGTGCACTTTGGCTCCAGATGTCTGACCTACGCTGGCTCTGGCTCTCCTGTTGGCATTGGCCCTCCTGATCAGCTGGTCCCTCCGTCTTCCCCTGAACATGTGGATGTTTGGTGGAGGGACAGTCTGGAATTTCCTGGTCTGCCCAGAGGAGGGACCTGAGAGACGAGGGCTGACTCAGCCTGAAGCTGGGGGCCCGGATAGGATAACCTAGGGTCGAGGTACTCATCTCTTCTTGATAATGAGCTCCTCTAGGCCAAGAAAGGTGGTTAGACCCAGCCCCAGGGCTGAGCCTGGCACCGTGTGTACTCAGTAATTACACGCTGCCTTCATTTACCTTTTTGGCCCCACGCCTGGCACAGATCTGGGCACCCAGTCAGGTGCCTGGACTACATACCCAAATGCGTCATCTTTAATTAACCTCAAGCTCCATCTCAATGTATCTCATGCCATGCTCTGCCCTGAGCAGGGGGGAGTCTGGCCTGTGTGTTTCTAATTCCTTTACACTTATCTCATCCCACAGCGCGCTGCACGATCCGTTTGATGTCCAACTTCTGAGCCTGCTTTATAAGTCAGCTAAGCCCCTTCCCGCTCAGAAATAGGAAGTCACATTTTTGCCAAGGATAAACCGACTCCAGCCCTGGCTGAGGTCAAGCGCAGTTTAGAGTACGGTGCCCATGGGGCTGGCGGGGCCCACTGACGCAGAGCTTGGGGCTCCCACCAGGCTCATGCTCAAACACGTCCATTGGGCTGAGCTGAAAAGAATTCAGCTGCCCGCCAAGATGCCAGGGACCTCTGACCATCCAATGAGCTGCCCAGAATTCTACCGTCTCAGAAGGGAGTCAACTGCCAGGCTGGGCCTGTTGGCACTGGGGCCAGTCAGCTGCCACCAGTGAGCATGCAGGGAAGCCCTGGTGCCGTGAGGCAGGGGAACACTGGGCTGGGAGTCAGCAGACCTGCCCAGCTGTGCAGTCTTGGGGAAGTATCTCTCCCTCTCTGGCCTTATTACCTTTTCTATCATCTGTCCACTGTGGGATCCTTTCAGCTCTTAGGTTGGAGGCCTCTGTCATTAGTGAGCTGCCAGCCCATCTGAGGGTTGGCCTGGAAGTCAGCCACCTCAGTCCTCTATGTCCTCAGGCACCATGTCGGGGAGCAGAGGGGTGAGGGAAGTCTCTTGGAGTCTCAGGTGACTGCCTGTCCCAGTCGGTGGCTCTGTCTCCCAGGTCCCCCACAGCTGGGCCCTGCCCCCAGCCTCTGATTTGGCAGAACAAGCACTCATTGGCTCTAAGACTTGACAAGCCAGGGCACGGCCACGTGGCACACTCTGTTGCCAGAGCCCTTGGCCAGCTACTGATCAAACAGCCTGTTTGTCTGGAGTGAGAAGCGTGTGCCGGTCCCAGTTTCAGACATCTGCCTCCCTCGGAGCTTCTCTGGGCAGAGAGACTGTGGGAGAACACGGACCAGGAGGCAAACATCACTTTTCACAGTGATCTGGGGGGACATCCCAGCCAGGTGACCTTGAGTAAGTCCCTTCACCTCTCAGTTTCCTCATCTGTGAAATGGGGATAATCGCAACTCACAGAAGTGGTGGGAGGACTGGGGGGAAGTGAGTGCAAAGCGCCCGCCCCACTGGGAACGGCGGCTCTTGTTGCCATGTGACTCCTGGAGCCCTGTCCCTAAAGTGGCCCTTGGTGCCACTCCTGTCCTCAGTCCCGCTCCCTGTACTTAGCCGTGACTCCGACACTGCTCCTTGGACTCTGGCTGAACTAATGACCCTGGACGGAGCGGTTTGGGCTCACAGTCTTGCTCTCCTGCCTGCCGCCTGACCTCGGGCAGTCCTGCCTAGCTCTGGACGTCAGCTTAGTCGTCTGTTACGTGGGGCTGAGGACTATCATCCTCAGTATCCCTGCCCCATCCCTACCGCTTTGGTCAAAACACTTACCACGAGTTCTGGAGGGCCTGTCTGCAGACACCCAAGAGGTTCAAAATAGCAGCATTCTCTTTCCAGAATATCTTCCCAAGCCAGGAGATGCTTCCGGAGCGGAAGACAGTTGGGTGTCACACCTTGGGCTCCCACCCAGCTTCACAAAAGCTAAGCCTGTCTGCTCGAGGTCCCCACAGAAGAAGAAGGAAACCTGGGCCCAAGAGGCTTGGGTGACCCCAGAGCAAGCCAGTTCGAAGCCACAGTCTGCCCATAGTACCAGAGGTCCTGGCACCCTGGGCTTTCTTCCTGGGTTGGCACTGGGGTTAATTCAGGGGTTATAACATAGGCCACATAAAAATAGTTTTATCAGTGAATAAATACATTTTTCTCTTTTAATATGGACATATTTTACAAAAGAGCCCCATAGCACTATGGGAAATTAAGATCCTTCTACAAAAAAGAAGATGTAACTCAGGTACGATAAAGCTCTAGTGTTCTAACCCGCCCTGGAGGTGTCGGGGTGTGGCTGCAGACCCTCCTGTGCTTTCCCTGGCTTCTCTGCACGAGGAGGCAAGGCGAGGTCAGCAGGCCCCGAGGGCATGCAGTAGGCCGAGGGTGGCAATGGCATTGGCCATGATGGCTGGGAGGAAGCCCAAGGAGGGACGTGAGCGGCCGGGCGCTGAGCTGCTGGCGGGCCCTGGTGAGTCCTGCTGCTGGAGCTGCTCCGACGAGAGCTGGAAGGGGGGCCTGGCCGTCCCAGAGCTGTGGGTGGGCTGGAGGGGCAGCGGGGGTGGCGAGGCGGTGGTGCTGGAAGGCAGGAAGCACACGGCAGTGACGTCAGTGGCCTTGTCCTGGGCAGAGGCCTGAGGGACTTAGATCCGACTTTATCGTACTAGTTTTTTTTTTTTTAATTTCTCATATAACGGAGAAGGAAATAAGAGACTCAGAAGGGGCGAGTGAGCAGCCCAGAGCCACACAGCCCAGCCTGCGGAGCTCCTAGGCTGGGTGGTAGGCCAAGATCTGGGGACCGCAGGCCTCAAGTGGGGCTGCTGGAGAGCCCGAGTTCCAGGCAGAATGAAAAGAGCGTGAAGGAGGAGATGGCCGGGTCACATGCCTGCCCTCCCGGCCCCACACAGACGACACTGAAGAGAGAACCCCCATCTTCACTACCCTCCTCCTTGTAACTGCCTTTTACAGAGTGCCCACTGCGAGCCCTGCGTCTCACAGTCATAGCCTGGTCCTCACTGCAAACCTTTAAAATGGGCCTCCTCGCTCCCTTTCTGCAGATGAGAAACCTGAGGCCCGGAGAGATGGCTGGTGGCCAGGTCCCCGAGGAGAGTGAGGGTCCGTCCATGGGGAGGCAGCCTTCGGCCTGCCTGCCTGCACCCCCGCAGGGTGCTCGGTGAAAGGTGCAGGCTGTCGTGAGCTGATGAGACGGCCCAGTTTGGGCGGTAACCCGTGACTGGGCTAAGAAAGCCTATGTGACAGGGAGAGTGTGAGAGAGAGAGAGAAATAAAGGAGGGGGGAGCAAAAGGGAGTGCCCTTGGGAAGTGGCGGGGAGGGGGAGACAGGTCAGGACCAGGTTCCTGGGTAGGGTCAGGAAAGAGACAGATGGGAAACGGGTGAGGGGAGAGAGCGATGGAGGGTGAGATGGGTGGGGACTGAGGAAGGAAGGGGACAATGACAGAGCCCTCACAAAGAGAGGGATGAGGGAGAAGTCTAACCAGACCTGTAAGCCAGAGGGGCAGGCTCAGGGCCCAGAAGCGATGGCTGAGACCACCCTCGGGGAGCCCTGGGCAGGTAGGAGGTAGAAGAAAAGGCAGTTGGGGGAACCCCTGAACCTCATCAAGCTGAGGGGGAGTCCTGGGGGCAGCGGACACACAGAGGGGCACGGAGCCGGCATGCCTTGGGGAAGAGAGGTGATGTGCTTAAACATTGCCTGTCATGCAGGAAGTGCAGTCGGCTGGGAGGACTCAGCGGGCAGCCTGCACGTGCAGAGGGCCTTCCTGACAGTCGAGCATAGTCCAAGCTACCCTGACCCTGCACCAGGCTCTGCGCCAGGCACTGGCAACGTGCAACCTTGCACTCTTACAACTGAGGAGCAGGAGGCTGTGATCTCCGTCATGCTTGGAGAGAAACTGAGGCACAAAGAAGCAAACTAACTCGCTCTAGGACCCATGTAGGACCAGGATCCCGAGTGGGAGCACGGTAGGTGCCCGCCAGCAGCTGGGGTAGGAAGCTCACCCCTCCCTGGTCAGTCCAAGGACAGGCTGATAGAAATGGGGCAGGCCCTCCCTGCCAGGCTGCTCGCTCCAACCCGCGGCACTCCCGGCCCACATTCCCTCAGCCAGCCAGCAGGCCATCATTGTCATGGGGAGCCCCTGGAATCAGGGGTGACCAGAGCCAGCCTGTACCATGTCCTGGCTGACGCCTCTCCCTATACCCAGCCCAGCCTCAGCCTAGGGAGAGGGCAGGGTCACAGCACAGCCTGGTCTCCATGTAGGCCCAGCTGGGAGCTCGGCTGGGGGTGGGTGACCATCTTCGTCTGACCTAGCTCAGCCAACAAAGGGGTCCTCACGCACTGCTCCACGCCCCCCTCTGCTCTGGGATACTGTGAACCCAGAGGCCTGCTGTGTCTTGTACAAGGCTCCTCTCACCTGGAGTCTGCAGGTATGGTGTTCCTTCCTCCTTTAGAAAGTCCCAGAGGAGAGGCCAGGATAGGAAGGTGCAAATGCTTGTCCTACCCAGAAGATGGGGATGATGTCCCTCGATGGTGCATATGTGCAGAATGGGGGGTGGGGCGGGTGGTGGCTTTAATCCCCCGACTAACACATGGGATCATGGGCGCTGTGCCTTCGGCTACACCAGCCTTTGGACCCCCGGGGACCCACCCCTGCCCAGTTCTCCTCCTGCTCCAGTCGCACCTGCTCTCTTGCTGCCTTTTCCTGCTCACCACAGAGGCCTGACTCAGCGCATCTCCCCTCAAGGCCTCCTTTGATCTGTCCCTCACCCCTCCATTCCAAGGGTCCCAGAAACCTTGACCAGTTCTCATTGACCTCATTGTGTTGCAGGTGTCTATTTCAACGGGTTTCTACACGGAAGTGCTTTAGAACAGTGCCCGTCACACAGGAAGTGCTTGGCGGTGCTGGCTCCTTCAGGATCATTACTATTGCTGTGTCTGTGTCTCTCCATCGATGGGGTGCTCACTAGCTGCTCCAGACACCATGCTGTGCACGTGTCCTTTTACATCCTCATTTGAAGAACCGAGGATGAAGGACACGAGGTTTCTTGCTGCAAATGCAGCAAGAGGCAGGGTGTGCTCCAGGGAGTCTGTCTCCGGGGCCAAGCCTGCCAGTGCTGTCTAACTGAGCCAGGCGCAACACGGATGGAGTCTGTGAGGTGTGGGTGTGACTTGTGAGACCCTTTGAACCCGTGCATGGAGGTTGGCCAGGGCTGGAGACTAGGCCTTGTCAAGCCTCAGCCCCTACAGGGCATGAGCATCTATTCCTGGCAGGGGTCATTACTCATCCCCTCTCTTCTCTAATAGAAAGAAAAACATAACACAAATAATGAAAACCTACATAAAACACAAAACGTCCATATGAATTCCTTCTAGCTGCTGCCCTATCATTTCAGCCTGAGTGGCTTGGAGGTTTGGAGGGCTGGCTTCAGGAGAGTAGCCTGGGGTGTCACTTTTGGTGCCTGGGGCTAGGGCCTAAGATGGTCTCAGAAGCCAAGACCCAGGAAAACTAGGGCTTGCAGGTGCCCAACGGCAGTTTCTTTCATACTTTGAGAACCAAGGATGGAAACTCCCCCTTGGAGTCTGAGCAGGGTTTTTACTGTTTGGAAAGAGTCTCAGGGAAATGGGGTGGGGTTGGGGGTTGGGGGGGAGGGCAAGCCCCTGCCCCACCCACCTTCCCAGGCCTCTGTGCTCACAAAGTTCAGTCCCCAGTCTAATCCCTACTCTCTCCCAGGCTCATGCTGGGAAAACTGTTTCATGGCAAAGCACCCACGAAGCCAAACCAAACACGCGGTCAGTTCCTAGGCTCCACGGTCGGCTGGCACCAAGGGGCCACGTCTGCTCTGAGTCAACAGAGCCCCTTGGGTGGGGAAGGGCCCCTCTGCCTAGAAGGAAGGCAGAAGCCCTGTGCCGGCCTGCGCTCCCTCGCAGCTTGCTGTGTGACTTTGGACAAGTGCTTCCTCAAGGCCTTCCTTCTCTGTCTACAATGAAGGAGCAGGAACTGAACCGTGGACTCGAAAATGTTTTCTAGCAGCAAAAGCCGGAAGTGGGGTCTCAGATGGAAGCCCAAGGTGCTTCCCAAGGTACAGAAAGCACAGAGATGAAAGGCTGGAGCCTGAGCTGGTATGGCTGTCTGTCCCTATTCTTTCTCAAGGGGTCCCTGGAGCAGCAGCAAATCTTGGCACTGGAGGGTCCCAAGAGCCATGACCTTGCCAACATGAGGGGCCAGTGGGCTGTGCCCTGAGGGACCTCCTTAGAGAGCTGCAAGGAGAGGAAGGGGAAACAGAGTTTGGGGCACACAGGGTCAGGGTGATGATGGCCCTGTGTCTGGGGATGGAGCCCTCGATGTGATCCTAGTCTGGGCCTCAGCCTGTTTGGCCCAAGCAGGTCATTCATAGGTAGAGATCTGAAGTGACCCATCTGCCTGCAGGTCAAGTTCCTGACATCTGGGCTTTGCCAGCTGCTGCCCCTTTGTCCACATGGTCTTCTGTACTGGGAATGCAGCCGTCCCTCGGCTTCGCTGGGTCGCTCTGACCAGATCCCTGCACAGGCACAGGTGGGTGGTCTGGTATATATATTCTTTTTTTTTGGAGAGGTTTTTTTCGCTATAGGGCGCGTGCGTTCACCAGCCAGCCAGAGAGAGACACAGAGACAGAAAGCGAGAAATCACCCCCCAGGGGGGATGGCCATGCCGCAATCCCTTCTCCTCCATTCTCCTCTCGGGATCTTGGGCATGCACGCACACGTGCCCGGCATGAGTTTTAAGCCACCAGGTCCGGGACGCGAACCGCGGTCGACTACATGGGAGTCCAGCAACATAGCCATTATGCTAACTTCTGGTTCCCCTGGTATATATATTCAAATAGCTTCATAGCAGGCCAGAGCTGGAAGGGCCTGTCCACTCTGGGGATGGGCAACTGGGGCTCAGAGGGGGCATGGGACTTGCTAAGGTCACTCAAGGGAGCTGAGGCAGGGACTCAGGGCTGTGGCTTCAGGGCCTTTCTGTGGCACCACATTGGGGAACTGTCTGTCCCTGGCCTAGACTTGAGACTTCTGCCTTCCACCAGCACTAAACAGGGGGCTGGGCAACCCATGCGTGTCCGTCTACCTGTGAAACTGGGGGGTTCACAACATCCACAATGGTTCAGTTAAAGTTCCAAACCTAAGATGTGCTAAGGGCCTTGAGCAGCTTCCTGCTGGGGACAGGGGACTGAGGCACCTCAGGCCAGAGACTGGAGAGTCAGTATCATTAGTGACACTTGCTGCTGAGTGTTACTGGCAGTCTGCTGGCGCTCAGTGCTTTGTCCGCATCATCTCGCGTGATCTCTGATCCCTGAAGCACACACAAGGAGGGCTGGGGTCTGAACTCTGCTCTGCCTGATCTTCGGCATGCACTCACACGTGCCCGGCATGAGTTTTAAGCCACCAGGTCCGGGACGCGAACCGCGGTCGACTACATGGGAGTCCAGCAACATAGCCATTATGCTAACTGCTGGTTCCCCTGGTATATATATTCAAATAGCTTCATAGCAGGCCAGAGCTGGAAGGGCCTGTCCACTCTGGGGATGGGCAACTGGGGCTCAGAGGGGGCATGGGACTTGCTAAGGTCACTCAAGGGAGCTGAGGCAGGGACTCAGGGCTGTGGCTTCAGGGCCTTTCTGTGGCACCACATTGGGGAACTGTCTGTCCCTGGCCTAGACTTGAGACTTCTGCCTTCCACCAGCACTAAACAGGGGGCTGGGCAACCCATGCGTGTCCGTCTACCTGTGAAACTGGGGGGTTCACAACATCCACAATGGTTCAGTTAAAGTTCCAAACCTAAGATGTGCTAAGGGCCTTGAGCAGCTTCCTGCTGGGGACAGGGGACTGAGGCACCTCAGGCCAGAGACTGGAGAGTCAGTATCATTAGTGACACTTGCTGCTGAGTGTTACTGGCAGTCTGCTGGCGCTCAGTGCTTTGTCCGCATCATCTCGCGTGATCTCTGATCCCTGAAGCACACACAAGGAGGGCTGGGGTCTGAACTCTGCTCTGCCTGAATTTACCTGTGCTTTTATTCATTGGATGACTGCTTCCCATTTCTTTTCTTTCCCTCCCTCCCTCCCTTCCTTCTTTCCTTCCTTCCTTCTTTCCTTCCTTCCTTCCTTCCTTCCTTCCTTTTTTAAGAGAGATTTTTGTTACAGGGAACGTGCGCTCACCAGAGAGAGACAGAAAGCGAGAAGTCATCCCCCAAGGGTGATGGCCATGCCATAATCCCTTCTCCTCCATTTTCCTCTTGGAATCTTGGGCACACACGTACATATATCCAGTGTGAGTTTCAAGCTGCCAGGTCCAGGACTTGAACTGCTGTTTACTGGGTGGGAGTCCAGTGATGTAACCATTATGCCATGTGCTGGTCCCCATTTCTGACTGGGGCCTCTTCTACCTCTGACAGATGGTGCCACACAGAGGCTCTGACCATCCCAGGAGAAGATCTGGCTGTGCTAGGAGGAACCAGAGCCAGACAATCTCAGGCAGGAAGGGTAGGCCAGCAGGAGGCACACGCCTTGCTTTGAGGGCTCTAGCTGTCTGCTTAAACCTTAGGGTGAATTGAGATCTGGAAGGGAATGACTCCTGAGCGCCCCCTGTTCCTGCATGGGACTCCCACCAAGGCTGTATCCTTCATGTGCTGACACTACTTCTCTGCCTTGCTTTGGGCCAGACCCAGCACTTGGAAGGTGCTGGTTTCCCCACACCTGCCCATGATGACCACCTTTCCAATCTAGGTTCCACCCACCCTGGCTTTCTTTTTAATTTCTCCAGAGGGTACATGCAGATTTTGGGCAAGCACTCACATGTACCCAATATGTTTTTCAAGGCAACAGATCCAGGATTTGAACCGTGCAGTTAGCCATGTGGGATCTAGCCTCCTTAACCTCCATGCCACCAGCTGGCTCTACTGCTCCCTTATTTTTGCAACTCCCTACCCGGCGCACACACAACTGTGGACTTGGAGAACAAGGGCTGGCACGACCTCTCAAAACAAACCAAGGCCATAACTGCACAGGATAAATGGAAGGACTGTTACAGCCTCTCACCGCATGGGACTAGACTTTGCCCTGGCTTTCCCCTGGTCACGTGCCTGCCCTGCTACCCGCCCCCCCCACCGGCTCTCAGATGCAGGGGCTCCCTGAGAATGCTCTGCCACCATGCAACCATCTGCAGACACACACTCAGCCCTTTTTGTGGGTCCCCATAAATCATCCTGCCGTGGCTGCTGCTTCTCTAAACTTCCTCCAGTGTGTTTAGATCACGGGTAATGAGGGCAATGGGAGGCCGGCCTGCTCCAGGTGGCGTCCCAGCCAGGCTGTCTGTACTCCCCAGCTCACTCACATCTTCCTTCCTTTCTCACACTCACGTGTGCAGTTGACAAACCTTAGCAAGTGGACTTGGGTGTAGTCCCACTCAGACTTGGTTCCCAGTGCCTCCTGGTCTAGACACAAGAGCAAGTGACTGCTGTGTTTGTGACTCTGCCAGGAGAGGGCACCCACAGGGGTTCTGCAGGAGAAAGGGAGAGTTCTACCTCCACGACTCTGCCTGGCCTGAGGCCTGAGGCCAGTGGCTGGCCTTACCGAGTCTGCCTCATCTGTGTATGTAACACAGGCTGGCCTTCTGTGACTCCTGGCAGTGCTGGGGCATGATGGATGGAGTGCCTGGCAGTGGGGACTCCACGACTGTCCACCTGCATTCCCCACCCAAGGCAGAGAGAACAGCAAATCTAAGGGGAAGGCCAAGCCTGGCTTGCCACGGGCAGCACACAGCCTGGCAAGGACAGGGACTACAGGGTCCCATGGGAGGAGGGCCGGGGTGAGGTGGGAATGGAGGTGAGGTCCTATATCGGGGCTGAGTGCTGGCTTCTTGACTGTGTTGGGGGCGTTCCAGGATCTCAGAGTGGGAGGGGCCGTGCACGAGGACCAGACATGGGGCTGGGAGACCCATCAGGATGGTGCCCAGGATGGTGGAGGGAAGATGAGCAGAAGAGCAGACAGAGGCAGAGGATGGCTCCAGTGGGTTTTGGGGTGGGGGGGCAGAGAAGAGAAACTGCCAAAGGGAATTAGGGTCCAAGGAAAATGGTTTTGTTAGAAAGGCTACAACTGGGCCCCAGGTTCCCTACGAGAGTGTTCCTCTGCTTCCTCTTGGAAAATTGGAAACTTAGGGACCTGGGAGAGGGGGTTGAGCCCCTGGTGCCCCACCCTGGACCTCTCAGGGAGTCCAGAGCCTGCTTCCCCAAGCAGCAGCGAAAAACTGTCAACAAACAGGCTGCCCGTTGCTAGAAACTTTTTTCTTCCCCCAACTAGTTGGAAGAAGTTTAGCCGACCACAATTTACCTATTGGGATGGAATAGGGGTTCCCTCCTGCCAAAGAAAAGCTGTTTTCTTCTCCTGAAACCAGGCTCTGTGTTTCAGAGCTATGTGTTGTGAACAGGAAAATGTTTGGAGTCGTTTGCTGAAATTTACCTTTCAGACATGGTTAGGGGCAGAGGGTCCTTTGCTGGGGCTGACAGCCCAGCCTCCTGTCACCCCATGGGCTGGACCCACCACTCCCTGGGTCTCCTGGTCACCTTGGGGAACTGAGCAGGCTCTGACAGCGTTTCTGGAGTTCTTAAAGGGCTACTAGCGCCTTCACTTGCAGGCAACCTTTGGGCCCTCCCCACTGTTGAGGGTTCTCTCTCTCCTGGCTAGAAGGGGGCAACCCATGCTGGGCATGTGACCCAGATGTGATCCAGCCACTGTAGTGACATGAATGCTTCTGCTCGGGCAAGCAGGGCTGGCCAGGGCTCTGCTGAAGTGCACTGCCCATAACCCAAGTAAGGCACTTGGGAGTTGATGTCCAAAGGATCAGTGGGTTCAGCTCCTATTTGCTGGAAGTCTTTAAGATCACATACGTCTCACACCTTGTACCTCCATTGGCCTTCTGCCAATGGCTCAGAGACTTGGATGCAGGCGAGCTGTCAAGTGCAAGAGGCAACCCTGATCCTTGCGTGACCATGGACAAACCTTCCTCACCCTCCCACCCTGGGTCCTGATTCACCATCTAGTAGGTTGGAAAAGTCATCATGCATTTTTCTATGTCTTTCTATGCAAAAAATGCATCATGACTTTACAACGACCCAGTAGAGATGCAGAGTTGGGTTAGTAAACCTTCAGGTGTGAGTTGAGCATATGGATCCCCAGCCCCTGTCCTGCAGGTTAGATTAGTGAGGTCTAGATGGGGCCTGGGAATCCATTTATCTAACAAGTACCCAGGGTGACTTTCCCAGGGCTGCTCAAGAAAATCCTGGCTGATGATCTTTAGGGTCCAGATGGGGACTATGAGACTCCCAGAGCCCATGGCTGGGAGCCTCATGCTCAGGGCTGGGTCCTTCCTGAACAGTTTCTTCTTGGGGTGTTCCTGGGGCTCTGGGGATACTGTTCACCACACAGGGACACTCCTGCCAGATGCGTAACCTAGGGAAGACTCTTGTGCTGAGTTGGCAGTTGGAGGACAGCCTCTTGGTTACAGCAGGAGCTTCGGTGACACAGGCTGAAGGGTGCGGTGCAGGTGGGGGAGAGGAGGCAGACCAAGGACAGAGGGGTCGGAGTACATTAGGGCGATTTCTGTACCTGCCCACTTTCACCAAAATTGCTCACAAATCCAGACAGACCCCACAGCATGAAGGCAGCAGTCACCATCTGCCCCTTATTACTCGCAGAGCAGAGTCCCCTCTGCACCCTCCCTGCCAGGGAGACCTGGGCACAGAAAGCTTGCCACATTTCAGCCTGACTAGCCTGTTCCTTTCCCACTTCCAGGCGATGGGACAAATGGAGCCACTTGTACACCAGATGTGTCCCAAAAGCGAAGTGTAAAGCAGACTTCCGGCCACCATACCTGAAGAAGCTTCTCTTTCCTCACCTTTATAATGCAGAGAACTGGATTTGCTCTTGTTTTGAAAATAAAAATGAAAAATAAAAAATGTGAACCTGCTCTATAAATCTGACCAATGGCCGCGAGAATCTGTGGATGGGGAAGGTGGCCTGGGTGGCCATCCCTACTACCACCTGCCACGCTTGCCCAGAGCCGGGCCTGCGTGGTAATGCGCATGCCTGGCGCAGGTGGCCAGGGTGGGCTGGGCGGTGCAGATGCAGCTCACCTGTCCTCAATGCGGACCCACAGGTCGTTGAACTGCCGTGGCCGCTGCTGTTTATTCTGCCGCTTGTGCCACTTCTTCTGGCGCCCGAACTCTTCCAGCTGGCTGAGGCTGTCTGGGAGCAGGAGGTGAGGGGACAATGCTGGGTCCTCCTCCTCGGGTGGGGTGGTGGGGGTGGCTGAGGCCACTGCAGGGATGGCGGTAGCTGAGGTCATTGGGGCTGGGCTCGGTGAGGTCCCCTGGGGAGAGGGTGCTGGACTCCCGGCGGCAGGGCTGGAAAGGGACAACAACATGTAAGGCCCTGGTGCTGGAGTGTGTCATTCTCGTGTGATGGGAATGGGACTCACGAGAAAGTTGTCATGGCAGGAGAAAATGCCAGGTGTCCTGCTGGGCCCACTAAGAGTGGCCCAGGAGAGCCACCCTCTGGTATTGATGGAGCTTTGACTTATTCTTTCATTCATCTACTTAATACATTTTTTAAAAGAAGTATTTTATTTATTATTATAATTATTTTTTAAGATAAATTTTTTTTTTTGCTATAGGGCATATATGCCGAGAGAAAGAGAGAGAGAGAGAGAGAGAGAAAGAGACTGGTGAAAGATGGCCATGCTGTAATTCTCCTCCATTCTCCTCTCGGGGTTTTGAGCATGCATGCACATGTGCTTGGCATGAGTTTTAAGTTGGCAGTTAACTGCAGTTGACTACATGTGAGTCCAGTGACATAACCATTATGCCATCTGCTGGTCCCTATTATTATTATTTTTTAATATGACCAGTGAGAGACAGAGAGAGAGAGAGGGAGAGAGAAAGTGAGAAAGCAAGCTGCCAGGTCTGGCACTTGAACTGTGGTCAACCATGTAGCTTAACCACAGTCCAGTGCCTTAACCACGATGCCACCTGCTGGCTCCAGTATGTAAAATATTTATTGAGCACCTGGCACTTTTCTAGGTGTTGGAGATCAGCAGATAGAGTCTCTGCCCCCAGGGACTTACTCCCACAGCAGGAGCCAGTGAGTAAAACAGCTGCAGGTGGCAGAAACAAGGCCAGTGTGACAGCCTGGGGAGGGGGTTGTCGGATAGGCAAGGTGTTCTGGTGACTGGCAGGCAACATTGAGTTCGGACTAGAAGCAGGTGAGGGGGCGAGTCCTGGGCAGGTCTCTGGGGCACACCTGATGTTGGTTAGGGTCTTTGTGTCCAACTCTAGCTGAGGAACTTGAGGCAAGTTACCTAACTTCGCTGTGCCTCAGTCTCCTGCTCTGTCAAATGGGGGTCTTACAGCTTGCACCTCCTATGGTACGTCCTGAGGATGACGTGGGTGAAGACAAAGCACCAGAACAGTGCCTGGCCACAGCAAGCAGCTGGAACAGCTGGCAATGAATTGCTTGTTCCCTAGCCATCCGTTCCCCTGCATTCAACACACTTGTCCTGTGCGCTTTTCCAGTGGAGCAGGACGGCGTTACGTGGTTGAAGCTCACACTGGAGATGGAGAGAGGTGGGTTCACATCCCAGCTCTGCAACTTGTGGGCTGTGTGACTAAGGGCAAGGTGCTGGATGGTCTGGGGCAACAGTTCGCTATAAAGTAGGAGTAATAATAGCAGCTACTTTGTAGGGTTCCAGGAGGCTGGGTAAGAGGAGGGCTGCACACAGTGCCTGGCACACCACCAGTCTCTCTGTGATGCTGGCCGACAGGCAAAGGCAGCTGGCTGCCAGCACTCGTGTGTCATCAGGCGTGTTGTGAAATTCACAGGGCATACAGGGATGCACATGTACACGGGCCCTCTAGCCTGTGAACAACCTCTGCTCTTCCCTCTTCTTTCCTCTCTGTGGCCCCAAGAGAATTTCACGTGAGCCCAGGAGAGGTTGGGAATGGCTTCGGGAACTGTGTCTGAGGTGTGAGGCGGTAGCCAAGACAGGCAGCCCGTCTTCCCACTGCACTCCCACTGTGCCATGTGGGTGGGGCTTCCCTCTCTCTTAAAGGGCAGAAGGCAGTCAGCTCCACCATCTCCCCAGCCCCCACACAAGCCCAGAGTCCCAGGGCCCAGGTTGCTGAGAGATGCCGCAGCTGCTGGGAGATAATTCAAAACAGTCGGACAAAAAGAGAGATCCAGGAAGCACCTGTGGCTGACGGTGGCTTTCATTGTTGGATCCTCCTCGATCAGCATCCCGCCCTCCTCCACCCTGCTGCTCCTTTGCTGCCCTGTGCAGGAGACCCAGGCTGAGAGCTCAAGGAACAGAGCCTATTGGGAAGGAAAGGGGGGGAAACCCCTCCTCTGTTGCCTGGGATCCAAGAAGAATGGGAGGCTCGCCAGTCTCGCCGGCCTGCCAGCCTCCCTGCCCTGGCCTGGACAGACACAATGAGCTTCAAGGGGATGGTCCTTTGGGCTGTGGGGTGAAGGGAGGGCATGCAGGAGAGGAGGACTTATGGCGTGCTTGTCGCTGAGGCTCCTGTGGACCCCCCACCCTCATACACAAGCTACCCCTGGTCCCAGTACAAACAGGACATTTGGGCTCAAGGGTCCTGGCAGGAAGAGTGGTCTTCGGGCTGGCTCAGTGGATGAGAAGAGGCTGGGAGGGAGTCTCAGCGGAGGTGTATCAGTTCCGCTGGAGCCACAAGAGGTTTCCGTATGAACGTTGAACATGGAACTCCTGACTTTGAGAGCCCTGACATTGACCTCTGGGGCTGCCCGGGACCTAGAGTCTGGCTTTCACTGATATCTCTGCCAAGTCTGGCCTGGGGTGATGGGCAGAGCTGGTCCCTACCCTTGGCAGCACCCAGACTGGGGGAGCAGGGCCAGGAAGACCCCCTAGGAAGTGGGGGTGGCTTATTTGAACAGATCAGTCATGCCCTGGCAGGAAAAGCAGGGGTGAGAGTCATGGCAGGAGCAGCATTAGAGGAAGTGTAGTTAGGAAGATGTGGGTGGAGTGGAGTGGGCCCCAGGGAAGAGGCCGGGCTGCTGCTGGCCTCCTGTGGCACCATCTCCTTCCAGGGCAGGGGTCCTGCCATGTCCTCTAGGCAGAGACCCGAGAGTCCTTCCACACCACCAATTCACCAATCTCGAAGTCCTAGCACTGCCCCACTCCACTGCCTCACCCTGCAGGGACCTCCTGTGGGGTCGAGTGACAACTTCCTTCCTGGTCTCTCATCTCCAGCCCAGCTCTTCTACCCTGGGGTGCTCGGTCAAGGCCCATCCCCATGAGGCCACCTTTCACTAGAGGCTTCTTCGCAGCTCTCCCCACAGGTCTGGGCAGCAGGCCGTGCTGCACGTGGTGGGGCATGGCCCCTGCACAGGCGCAGCAGGCCAGCCAGCCCTAAGATGCCCCAGGTACTCAGGTGCTCACCTGTGGATAGCCTGCCCCGCGGGGGTGTGGTCCACCTCCAGCCCCGCCTGTCGCAGGACATCGATGACTGTGTTGTTCCCCAGGAAGTGACCTGGAACACAAGAGACAGCATGGGCTCAGCTGGGCCCACCCTCTGGGTTTGCGTCTGGTCCTGTAACCTGCCACCCTTCAAAGCTCCCAACTGCCTGAGGGGCAGTGCTGCAGAGTGGGCAGGGCGTGGTCCTGTGTCAACCTGTCTGGGCCCACCAGCTGTATCTCCCCTGGCCATATCGGTGAGGTGGGAGTGATTGGGATAGCGCCCTCCAGGGTAGCCAGGGGGTTACAGGGTCAGCGGCTGGTGGCAGGAAGGGCTCTCTAGTGCTGCCCGCCCTGCTTGTCCTATTATTATGTCTCACACACTAAGCTGGCCCCAGCTCCTGCCTGTAGAGGCTGGGACACATCT